ATAGATGGATGAAACAGGAGGAAAAAGGAAAAGAAAGGGGAGGACACAAGGATAGAGGAAAAGAAAATAAGTGTAAGGAAACTAGGATAGAGGAGAAGAAGGAAGGATAAGGAAGAGGAGAGGGGGAGAGAAGGTGAGGAATCAATGATGTAGAAAAAGAGATAAAAATAGAGGAGAAGAGAGGGGATGAGGAGTCAATGGTAGGGGAGAAGAAACAAGGATGGAGGAGAGGATAGAAGGATTGAGGAGAGGAAACAAAAACAAGAGGAGGAGAGGAGAGGAGAGGAGAGGAGAGGAGAGGAGAGGAGAGGAGAGGAGAGTGGTCAAAGACACTTGGAAAACTTGGTTAAAACCACTCAATGAAGTGAATTAGAAGTCAAAACCAACACAGAGATTAAGTGAGACCACCTTGTGGCCAACATAATGTTCTGCTCTTAAAGTCTAATCTTACCTCATTCTAATCCTGCTCCTCAAACATCTCTAACCCTCAAAACAAACCTCTTCTTTCCCTTTACTTCTCCTCCTATATTTTCATTTCCTCTGCCACACTTTCCTTTTCTTTTCTTTTGCTTGTTGCTCCTCAAACCAAACTTTCTCTGTCATTCCAGGAAGCAGCTACTGTTACCACTTTGTCCCACACCCTTCCCTGACTTCAGGGTGTACTTGTCGGAACTTGACAACCTTATCAGTTTGAGTATTATCACCCGCTTAAAACCCTCACAATGGTGACCACAGCGTGCATCTGGAGGCTAATGGTTACTTACTCATGAGAGAAAACTAAAAAGAAAGGGAGAGAGGAGAAGTGAAGAAAAGAAAGAAATCACTGCTGGACTGTTGAGCTGACCACGCAGCCGAGCGCCCCAGCTGTGAAAACCTCCAACCACATGAGAAAGAGTAAAAGATTCCTTAGAGTCCCGTTACTCCACTTATTGAATTTTTACAACCTGGTGGACTGCCAGGCACTTGGCTCTAGCAACACGTTTCGTGCCATTGCCACTCCTTGGTCCAGAAAAACAGAAAAGAGAGACAGACAGAAAGACGGAGAGCAAGACTGCTGGTTGAATCATCCCTCTCACCCACAGCAATCTACTCTCTGAAAAGATGATGGCCTCGGTACTGTATGTGTGTGTGTGTCAGATGTTTGTGTGCAACTGCGGATAGACACGTTTATCACGCAACCACATACGGGACCCACACACAGCCTGGCCTTCATCTCACCCGGTGTCAATGAGAGACCTGCCTGTAGTCTTGTGGTTACTTTTTGAAGTTGAAGGAGGGGGCGATGAGAGCTCACACCTTAACACAGAACAAAGGTGTTACAGTTCACTAATGTAAAGTGATGGGAATACAGCATTGGGATATCTTTGATGACAAAGTTGTTGACAACAATGAACTCCATTCACGTGGCTGATGCCAACTCCTTGAATCACATTTTAGTCTGTGTCTGAGAAAACAGCCCTGAACCTGAACTCTACCCCACAAACCCGCCCACCAACGAGTCCAGATATCAGTCAGTAATAATCACTGTGTAACTCTTGGATTTGGCTTGAAGCAAAGATGGAAAATAAATGTTATGCTGTTTTACAAAGTGACTTATTAGCATTATCATTACTAATGTTTCTGTGTCGGTCAGTTGGTGCACCACTTGGTGGAAAAACATCTCAACTACTGGATGGATCAGGATGAAATTTATCACAGACATTCATGGTACCCAGAGTCTTTTACAATTTTATGTGGCGCAATTGCACACAGAGTGAATGGAAAGACACGATTAGACACAAATTTTCTTGGTGCAGCATGAAGTAACACAAGAACATGTCGGTGTGAGTCGAGTTGAAAATGTTTCAACTTCAGCAGGAAAAACTTGCGGCGAGAGACTGGAAGGAAATAACAGAACAAGCTGGAATCAATGGAAGGTTTTGAGTTCAGTGATAAGCTGATGTGAACACAACTCCACACACGTGGTCGGTATCTATGTTGTTCGCTAGCTACCGTACAGTTTCTACATTGGCTGTTTGGAGTGAATAAACACAAACAGTCCAGCGGTCAAATTTGTGAGTGACACGAGGCAAGAACTCACTTCACTTTGTGTCTGAACACACCTTCAGTCTTGTTTCAGTCTATCTAATATAATTGACATTTAACCAAAAAGAGAAGTATATCTCATGACAGCAAACATATTTAGCTGAGTTGTGGTGGATTTATGCTTCTGGGTCAGGGAGTGGTGGTTTGTGGTATATAGGCAACATAGAAAATTGCCCTAGTGCAGTGGTAGATGCATCGTGAAGAGGAAAAATAAAATTACTTGGCACTCCTTTCGCACCCCTTTTTTTCAGTCATAAATCGGTCAAATCAGGACGCAGATACAATATACACACTGCTGGAATCAGCACAATCTCAATTTCACAGACAAAGAATAAAAAACACACTTCTTACATCGAGAGATCTTGCTTCATAATTATCATGTTAAGACATTTTTTTCCAGTATCAAAAGCCCAGTGCTTTATGTGTCTACATCCATAGTTATAGTGCAATAGACATTGATTAAAGTTATAAGTAAAACCTGTGCTTTTCCTGACAAGTGACAAGTAAAAGTACTTGATGTAAAAAAAAAAAAAAAAAAAAGGCCCATCAGGAAGAGGAACTGCTATTAGCTAATCTATGAATGAAGCTTTTTTTGTGTTTCCTGCTCTGAAACAAAGACCACTACAATAGGAGCATAACGGACACCAATGCTGTTCACAAAACGAAGGCAAAACTTTCCAAGTAGCCTTACCTCACCTGCTGCATCTCCAGATCAAAAACTGCTCAGATCTGACACAACTGACAAACTACAAACCTGATCAGGCTTGCAGGAGGTAATTACAGTGAACAGAAAAATAAAATACCCTGCAGAGTGCAATGTAATGCAATACATTAGTCCTGTAATACTGCCCTTATGAAACATATACTTTTTATTTGTTGTGAACTCTGAGCTAGAGAGGAGAAGAGATTTAACTCAAGTTGTCATTTTAGAGGCTGTAGTCTGTGGTGCTGTTGAATTAATCATGTTGATGTTTCTACTTCTTTCCTCCGTATATGTAAATAAAGTGGACAAAATATTAGAAACACCTTTCACTATAATGAAATCAAATATAACACTGCCACTATAAAAAATGAGGCAACACATCGATGAAGTTGCAATTACAACAAAACATTTTTTGAAATTGTATTTACTGCAAGACTGTTATATTGCACTGTAACACAATGCAGGTGTATCTTTTTCTCTGGTCAGTGTATTGAACCTGTTGTTCTTGAATTATCTTGAAGATGAGAAATCAAACTATGAGAGAGATGTCACACTATCACTGTGAAAGCTGCATTAATCAATATTTTTTATATCAGGTCTCAGCTTTGCACCAACAGAGGCAGGCAGGGTTAGTGACTGGCTGATAAAAAGTCAAATGTCTAGCAGGTAAAGGAAAGTGCAACCACAGAGCCAAAATGGAGAATATATTAAATAAAGGTAAATATATTTATCAGGTCACCAGAAACACAACTCTAATAGTGTGTGTGTGTGTGTGTGTGTGTGTGTGTGTGTGTGTGTGTGTGTGTGTGTGTGTGGGCATGTCTTTGAGTGACAGAACAAGAGAAAACCAAAAGCAATGTGTTGTGTGAATTAGGTTTAATTATAATTTATTCAGTTTAATTGGTGTATAATGGTATAATAACAAAGGGCAATTATGATTGCATATTATGACTGCAATTAAAATGATTACAATGTGGCAACCGTTCTGCCACATCCGGCAACCAGAAGCTGATGGAGGTGCCTTGAGTTAGACACAGCTGAAGATTTATCTGTATTTAAATCTGTCTGTAAAAAAAAAAGTCAGTGTATTAGCCTGCTTGTGTTCCTAAGATCTGAAGTTAGATTTGCCAAACTGTTGCATAATCCCCAACTCTGATGAAGCAAAGCAGGAATGAAAGACGGACTCAACGTCTTCACTGAGAGTCTGCTGTTTATCTTGTTGCTGAACCTGGTGTCTACAGAACTCGAGGAAAAAATTCCTGAGCTGATGTCATGAAGCGATCTGCAAAAACACTCCAAAGGGTGACCCAAATCCAGTCATGGCAAGATCACACAGCGACTGAGACAAAATAATTCAAATTCAAGTGACTGGAGATTTCCCTCAAGCATTAAGTACAGTTGTCAACAAAGAGGGATTTGCGAAAGAACAGGCAGATGAATGATCTTGTAGGAGCACAAAACAAATATGAGGAGCTGGCAACAACCATGCAAGTACAAGCTACAGATCAGCCCCAATATAATCTATCCCATTCAAAAGAGATGCAAGAAAAACACACAGAATATATGAAGTCTGTTTGTCTTCACATACCGTCTCCCACCACAAGGAATCTAAATAACCAGCTGGCATTTATTTTAACCAACCATATATGACCATGCTACACCATTATCTTCAACACTTCTGAAAATAGCAACAAAGTGATTAATAGAATAATTGTTTAGTGAACTGGGGAAATTTTACAGATTATAGAGTATTATATTATACTGTGTCTTCAAATCTTCAACAGTGAGTAAGATTTGTTTTCTTTTCTATCTCAAATGAATTAATCGTTTGTAGTTTGCTTGGCCACTGGTTAGAATAAAGTAAGCATTTGTTGTTTTTAAAATTATACAGGCCAAAAGATTCCTTTAAAAGAATTAAGAAATAAAATACAGATTAACTGCTACTTGCAGTCCTATTTGGAACTGCGTCTAGCAAAAACTAGCACAGTAATCCAGCTGTTTATTGGTGAGAGCAAGACAGTCATCGCTTACGTTCCAAGAAATGCAACATGCTGCAAACTGCACACAAAGCTAGGCTAAACACAGAGCTGCTCTGAACGAAGAGAGATGAAACTTATACTGATCTGACGTAATTCTCGGTAAGGCGTATAAATAATGTAGGAGTATTCCTTTAACCGTGAGGACAACAATAAGGACTTTTTCTGCTTCTTACCGTGCCGCTTACTCTGACGTCATAAAGCCGGCCCCAGTCATCTTCATGGCTGTCAACCATCATCATACTATCGTCCTCCTCCAGGAACCACTCAGCCTGCAGGTCAACCTTCACCTCCTCCCCCATGGAGTGCATCCCTACAGCAGGGAACAGCCCCTCCGCCAACACAGGAACCTCCACTGAGCCCACCTAGATAGGAGAGGGATGTAAGAGTGATTGAAGAAACGTAAACAAAAACAGAAAAGACACAGAGACAACACTATACTAAAACACCCACCTCTTTGCCATTTTTGGTGAAAAAGACTGTTGTAAAACCTGCTTCGATATTTTCTGAGTGTATTCCACAGCCAACGCGGTCACCACGAGCACATTTTGGCCCAAACTGCTGACCCACAGGGTTCCCATTGTATAACCTAACAGGAAACAAGAGATAAAAATCCTTCAGATTGATCCTGAAGCTGAATTTATACTTGTGCTTAGGAGGTTAAGGTGTAGCAATGAAGCCTTTATGTGTGGGCTACACTGACGGTAATTAGCACCCCCCCACCCCCCAGAAATAGATCTACATATTAGGGCAAGAACTGTCATTGGTCAGCTTCCTGCTTGTGTTTTCTCCTGCAAGTTTCCACTGGCAGTAGAGATTGTTGTACATGAAGACAGCATATATCAGGCAGAAAACAAGCTTGGTAATTTTATTTTTCTCTGTATCATTTCACATACTTTGCAATCTTCTTTTTGCCACAACTGTTGCTCTCTTTCACAAAGTGAATAAAAGAATGTAAACAAGATTACTTTGGCTATTAATGATTACTCTGCAATACCCTCCTATTCCTCCTAATTTCCCGTCATCACACCTAATGACAAAGTGAATAAAACTATGCACACACACTTTTAGGTCTATAATTACAGTAATTTATGTGGCCTGATTATGTACAGCACACCTGTCTAGTGTTGCAGTGGTGCTATCAACAGATGAAATCAGATGCTGAAATATGAAGCACTTCCTACGCTGGAGGCATCTACACTGGTACTGCCACACACTGTGAACCACAAACTTTAATCTAGTTTTAAACATGACGCTCAACACATAGCACTTCCAGTAGAACTGCTTATTAGTTGATTAGTCGATTACTCGCTCATCAGAAAATTAACAAAATTTTTGGCAACATTTTTCATGATTTTCTACTACATTTATTTTCTACTAAGGTAATTTTACAAAAAAAATAATAATTAAAATAATAATCATAAAAAAGAAACTCAAATGAATGTATGAATATAATAATTAGCTGAAGCTGTACAAACAATACTGAGACATGCAAGGTTCAGAGCCATTATTCCTGTATCAAGTATTTTAACCTGGTGTAAAATGCAAAGAAAGAGTGAGAACAAGCTGAGGAGTATCATACAGGGAATTACTGCTGCGGTTGTGTGCGGATGCAGCAGCAGCAGGCCACAACCCATTTTCACAAACCATGCAAGAAACCAATGCTGAACTGTAATGTATAGATGACTGTGGTTTTACTTACTTGCCGTTGTCAGCGTGGTAAGCTACAGAGTATGGCAGCCAGCCAGGCTGGTGGTCCAGCCTATAGAATTTAGGCACCAGGCCCACAGCAATGGTCCCCCTCACCCCTGTGTCCACTATCGTCACCTACACACACACACACATACACACACACAAAATATTGTAACAATGACTGTGGCACCAGTTAAGTAGTTTAACTCACTTCCACATATGGAGCAGGTCTTTATAGTTTTTACTTCTGTACATGGTCAGAATGAAAAGGTTCATTTTTAAAATAGCATGAAGTTACAGTCAAACCATAATCAAAACACAACTTTTATATTTTACTGTGAGAAGCTTCACCAAGTTGCACCTTCAATGGAAAATTCAACTCAGGAAAGGAAGCCTCCCAACAAGTAAATCTCTGTCCCTGTCGACCCTCAGTCTGTCTGGCTGGTGTGGGTCTTACCCAAATGCCCAGAGTCTGACTCTCTGCACAGCTGTGCAGCTGTCCAGAGTAGAAATGTGCTGGTACACCAGTTTTAATACACACCGCAGTGAATCATTCCAAAGGTAGTACTACCACCAAAGATTTCTATTACCGTCAATACCATGATTAATGCCTTTTTCAGAGAGCACTGAGAACACAGGACAGTATAACTGCTGCATTTCCACCACTTTTATGTTCTAACATTCTACCTTTAAACTATTAACATCAAGCATAAAACTCTTACTACAATGTTCCTGCTCCCCAGAAGTCTTAGACGGATGGGTAAGATCATAAACCCCCAATTAGAATTACAGTCTCACAGTTGTATTCCTCTGTCAACCAGTCAGGTTGCAGTTTACATCCATGTCTGTCCAGACTCCTTCAATAAATGTAGTTAAGACTGTGAAGGAATTTAATAAAAAGTATTCACTGTTTTTTTTTTCCAGAATCAGCAAATTAATTCTTATTATGTTAGGGCCAAAAACACTTCGAGAGGTCCGAGTAACCTTTGACCTTTGACCACCAAATTCTTATCAGTTCATCCTTGAGTCCAAGTGGACATTTGTGCCAAATTTAAAGAAATTCCCTTGAGGCGTTACGGAGATATCACATTCACAAGAATAGGACAGACAGATAACCCAAAAACATAACGCCTCTGGCCACAGCTGTCACCAGCGTGGAGGCATAAAAATGTCATTGGGTGCGTTGAATCTAAGACAAACAGATACTGCATTGAAAGCAGTTTCAAGTCAACTGTCTTAAATTTGAAACAAACAGCCTGCGTGTGTTTATGGTTTTTAGTGTATTTGATGTTAATTCTTTTGCAGAGTCCAACAAAGTTGCAACATACAGTTCACTGATTCAGTTTGTCAGGTACGGTTTAATCCAATCAAATCCAACGATCATGGTGTGGAGTAATTTTACTACATTTAGCACTAATAATAGTATTTCAGGAAAGTTTGATGATTATTATGATGATACCATTTACCGTAATGGTTTTGGCCAAAATAATCATAGTAATGAAAACGTACCAGCACATCCAAAGTCCAGAACCCACATGGCAGCAGAGGAAAACCTCCACAATCACCTCCTCCCCTCAGACATAACAGCAGCCTGCCAGCTAAGCCCAATCACAGCAAAATGACACAGCAGAATTCAGTAAAAGATAATGCAGGCAATACAGGAGAATAACCCCATCCGTTATGTGTCTAAATCTGTTTCCTTCCTTTGTTTGGGAACTCTCCAAGTCATTTCTCACCCTGCTACATTTTCTTCTTCTGTATTATTCCTCACTTTACCCCTTCTAATTTACCCACCTCTTTTATTATTTACCTCTCTCTTCATCCCAGACCCCAAAATCACTGCTCCTGCATGACAGCTATCAGCACGTGAAACCAAACCTCGTGGGTTTCCCTAACTAAAAATTCCAGGCCTGATTCCTTTCCAGTCTGCCAATTTAAGGATAATACATTACACCTTTGCTTTGTTTAAGAAGTAAATTCTTTGCCTTGGCAGGTTCTGACTTCCACACCCGAACTGTTAAAATACCACAAATGTCCGAATAAAAGTTATAAAAACATGGGAGAATACTTAGATTGGGAAATAGCAGGAATGTGATCACTGATGAGCCGTTCAGTTATGTTGATATTAATTTTTCAAATAAATCTATTAAAACAAGTGGAATGCTGCAGATGTTCAGCTGGACTTGAAGAAGATGGATGAAGAAAAAGCGGAGAAAGTGCAGCAGCACTGACAAGAGAAGTAAATGGATTCCTTGTGAAAGCAGAACGAGGAGAAACACGAGTATAGCAGTGACGCATACGTCGACAGAAGCCTGACCTTTATGAGAATAAATGCTCCCAAATTTTCGAGATATCTGGGAAACTGACAGCATGTGCGTCACAGAGCAGAGAAAAACGTAGCATAAAACTCTGGGTAATGGCCTCACTAAAATCCACTTGTTTAAATGTCAGTGAGATCTATCAGGCTCCAAATGTGATTCTCATTTAAATATAACCAGTGTTGTCTTTAAGATTTGCATGCTAAGGCAGGAGAGAGAGAGAGAGAGATCTGGAGCTCAGATGAGAGTTTGAAATCACATTTAGAAGAAATGTCACATCTGTTATAAATCAGGGACACCTCACAGCCATGAGAAATAATGTCAAAGTACATTACTGGCTTGTATAGAGTCTTGGTGAAGCAGATCTGAAATGTGACATATGTCTGAAATGATGCTTCTCATCTCAAGAAGAAAAAGCATCTGAAAAGAATAGTGGAAGAAGTAAATTGTTTTCAAGGGAGCTTGGTATTGCCACAGGACTCTGATGCTGTGTGGTCCTGTCTGGGTCTATTTCCAGCCCAGCAGAATGACGTGGGTTCACTGGATAATGTATAGCCTTATGTTTCCTCCTCACGCCTAAAAACTGAGACAAGTATTCCTGCCTCACCTGCAGTCTCTTTATTACACGTCACAAGGCCTACTATGACGTGCACCATCCACAAATAAGCTGGCTCATAAATAAGACACTGCAGCCCTCAGCACCTAATTTATGACTGAACTCTTGCAACTTTCCTGTTTTAAATCACCAAGATACCTTTCTCTTTGCTCTACTGTATGGATGAGAACTATTATACGTACTGTAAGAGCATGTCAGCTTTGCTAAAATAAATGTCCAATGCTTTCTCCTGCTGCCAGTCTACTGAAAAAACATTGTGTGTTAGACTAATCTTTGTGTGCAGAGATACCACCTAACCCACACCCTATCCCTCATTCCAATGCAGCTAGGACATTTTTGAGGTAGTGGTTTTGCACTGGTGAACTGGGACTGTGGGGGGGCACTCAGAATTTAATATGAAGTTGAGAAAATTGTCTGCAATGGGATTCCAGGGGATAAAATTGCTGGCTGGATGGAAAAGCAATCTTGAGCACAACCAGGGACGATGGTATGTGGTAAGCCTATCATATTGTGACCACCCCAAACATTTCAAAATGAAAAAATGAATGATTGCTTTTTTTTCTCTCTAACAAAGTCAGAGATAGCAGTTTGTAGTGATCATGTCAACTAATGACGCACAAAAAAAAATATCAAAGAGCAAACAGTCAGGTCTTGCAGAACTCAGTTACAATAACAATGTCAGATGCTGACTTAAAGCATCACTGTCATTGTGCCTTACCTCGAAGTAGCAATTTCCCTTTGATAAAGGATGGCCAGCCACATAGCAACCCACCTCTTCAGAGTTCCCTTGGTAACTAAAGAGAAGAAAATGAAGGTTAACAATAGGTGACTCCTAATAGGTTCAACTGCTGTATGCACAATCAGAAACAGATCTTGAAAACAACTTTGACTGTCAAACATCATCAGTGTAATCATATGCACTGACGTGTTCAACAGAAAACACAAACATGTGTAGTCCTTATCGACAATGAAGCAGATTTAGACTGTAATATAAAACGACTTGCACGTGATGATTTGCTGTTACTGTTTAACATATGATGCCCACTAGCTTTATAAAAGGACATGCTTTATTAAGGAAGGGAAAACTGGAGATATGCCTGAGAACAGGCCTTTTTCACAGACGACATTTTACATGTCACAGTAGCAAAAGCACAGGTGTAAAAAAACTTAATCATGGTGATGGTTGAACTCTTTTTACTAGCTTCAGTTTCCGAGTCCTGTTCATGTGTCTGCCATTACACTGTCATGACTTACTGGGACACTTGAATCAAACAGAATCATCATTACTGTTATTAGTAACACAATCAATCACTGGAGCCTCTGAAGCTTTGTATCAGTATTGCAGTGTGTTTAACATTTTGTACAGCATTAAACACTGAATGAAATGCCAGCATCTTTAGAATAAGGTATAACAAGTGCTAATCTTGTTATATAGAGTTATCACTACTGAACAGAGATACTTGGTCAATATAGGAGTCTGGCGTTTACAGTCAA